ACGCTCGTGAGGAAACTCGTAACGAAGTTATTTGTGCGAACGCCAATCAGCTCCGTTACTCTTTCTACTCTGCGCGATGTGACCTCGAGGACCTCGTTTGAGTGCAGCCCGCCGCAGCTGCGGATTAATTCTACGAGATCGCTAATTGAGTTTCCTACGAGAAACGAGGAGGATTCGGGAGGGAAAAAAAAGGGGGAATTTCCATTTCCCTATCGGTGAAATCGTCGAAGCGCCGTTTTTTCGGGGGGAAACACCCCGTAAAACACGTTCATGATTTATTCTACGCAAGGAGATATCGTATGAAATGTACGATAACCGAAATAAAAACTCGACAAACGGCGTGATATTTCTTCGTGAAAGAATTATATGATACCGTTCGCGAGTCTAATCGAACATTATCCTTTTTTTCCCCGCGTTTTTATAAAGAATTATATTTTTAAGTTAAACTGTTATTGAAATAAGACGCGTTTGATTTGAAAAATAAGATTTTTGTTATCTATCAACATTCTTGGTAAGATAACTTGTTAAAATAATCCGTAAAAAGTAATTAAAGTAATATTTTAAAGTAATATTTTTTAACAATTTCACAACGTCCAACGACCGGCTGGACGTAATACGTAACAGCAATGCAAGTTTGCACGTTTCGAGCACCGAGCCGTCGGGAAAATGTAATTTCGCTGATAAAACATGAAAGCGTGGAAGTCGATGCGGCGGGTAAATACAGGAGAAAAACGGGATGGAAACATCCCTCAGGAGAGCGTAATCTCGGCGGCTCATCGCCTGCTGCTTTGCAATAATAGAAGCCCTGCAACCCTTGCGTTACGCTAAACGTTACGCTTGCGTGGCGCTATACTTTTGTTGCTACTCCTTTTTTTCTGCGCGTCTCGGTATTCGAACAATAATAATTGAAAATTTTACTTCTCGATATTAGAATATAAATTTTTTTATTTCCATAGAAAAGAGAGACTAAACTAAATATTTCTGTGCTGTAACGTTAATTCATAACAAACTGCTCATACTATAAAAAAAAATAAGGAATTAAAAAACTGGAATAAAAAATAAAACATTCTTTATAAGTTATAATTCTAAATATATTATTTCTTAACAATATTATTTCTTACTTTAAAATATGCACGAATAAATACTAAGTCTGGCAAAAAAATAATATGTCTCTTATTACAACAAAATTATTGTGTATTTTTTGCTACTGTGCATTTTTGTCTCATTTCGTAAAATAATCTCAGTTACATTTTTAAAACAAGCTTTATAAAGTGTACGTAGAGAGAAATTATATATGTATCGTAACACACGCCTGAGAGCATGGAAGAAATGTCGGACACGCCCTGCGCATAAAACGGAGCAACCTCGCCTACGATATCGTCGTAAAGCTCGGCCGGCAGCAATTCATCCTCGATGGCCAGTTTTGCGTTACTGAAGTAGAACAACTCGAGCTTCTACTCGCGACCGAAAGTTCTCGATCAGCGAAACTTATCGCGTATTCAGGAGGATGAAGGGAGTCGCGCATGCAAGAGCCTGAATGCGCTCTGTCCGCGGGATCGTCGAAGACACAACGCGAATCTGGGTCAGTTCTTATCGGGCAGACTGCAAGAACCCACCCACCGAATAATACGACGCCACATCCACGATTTCGAATCAACCCCCTCCAATAAATCATTTCGACTCCATTTGATTCGAGTACGCTTGCAAGAAACCCGAGATGATTTGTTTCGGTACTATCGGAGTGCTTGGCCGCACGAATACCGTGACGGCAAGATTGAGTATAAATGTGTAGCGAATGACGTAATTACGTAAAATTATAGAAACAGTGTACCGATTAATCCTTATTGTATATTATAAATATTGTGCCGACAGAAGAAGTAACTTTCTCCTCTTAGTAATTATGCAAAGATCTGCTGTAACTTTATCTTCATTTGCAATTAGCTTCACGAGAATTACAATCTTTATGATATAAACATATCCTGTTGTATTTCCTTCGAACAATCAATTTAGGTTGAAATAACTTCTGAATATTAATTAAATTTTATTAAAAATTAAAATTTTTCTTTTTACTTTGGAAGATTACTTAAGACTATTCCAAGTTGTGCAAATTCTGATATAGCTTTTTCATTAAATATAAGAGAATAGTATGGCCCTGCGCACAACGAAGAAAATATTAGGAATAAGAATAAATATTAAATTTTAGAAATAAAAATTCAGAATAAAAATTAAATGTAACGCACAATACAAGTAATTTTCAGATATGATTATATATTTTATACTTATTTATATTCGTTGTGCGTTGTATTTAATTTTTATTTCGAATTTTCATTTTCAAAATTTATTTCTC